TGAAATTGTATTTTTCTTACCTATCATCCGTTGTGACAGTATTTTATTCAGCCATCAGTGCAAGCTACCTACTTTTGGTGCCATTGGTGCAGCCTTGTATCTTTGGCTCATTTGGCCCAGCTGGCTTTGGGGCATTTGATGCAGATTTTCCCCCGTCGTTTGCCATTATAAGTATATTATAATGAAGGGTAGTAGATAAATGAGGATAAATGTGAAGGATGCTGGAGGAACTGAACCTTGGAAAACTAGGCAAGGAACATGCAGGCATATTTATATATCATGCAAGCAAAAAATGCTTGTAATTATGACGCTTATGCTGGGGCTATTGAGACTTTAATATGCTTCTCAGGATAAATTTGGGCTACCCTACAAAAACAGAGGACTTTACAGCAAAATAATAATTGGATTCTGCCCAGTATCTCATTCAATCCTGGTTTAATCCACAAATTTGTGGATATTAAAATTCAGTATTTTCTTGCCAGCACCATCGATTCCAAATTAAATCTATTTCTGGCTTAATTTCTTTGACACAGATATGCAAATGCTTCTTTATTAAGTTTAGCAATTAAATCCTTGTCAACTGTAGTTCTTTTTTTGCCCTTGGGCTTTTTTTTACGGGCGGGTGCTTTGGCGTGCTTTGTTTTCCGCCATCTGACATTGTCAGAATGTTATAGCTAGGAGAATCTGGTAAATATAAAAGAAATTGAATGTCTGGAGAATAGTAAAATAAAAGAAACAATAAACACTTGGGCAACAGGCATCCAAACCAATTTATTTGTCAAACAAGTGGAAAATAGCTGCAACTAAAAGCTTTTGTGCTTAGAAAACGGATGCTTTTTTATGGTGTTTCCCCAGAATAAAATTGCTTAATTAAAGTGTCCTTTCAAATATAATTAGCTGCTTCTTTTTAAAAAGCACTTGTATGAAGCCTATTTATTTTTGCTTTATCCAGAACAAATTGTATCCAACATTATATATTTGTGATTAAATAAACTTTGTAACTATATGCTGTATTTCAGCATCATTGAGAGTACGCCTCCGACCAGGATAGCATGTTATATGTACCAAGCAAAACGTAAGCATTAGCCCACATGCGACACCGAGGAATGCCTTGATGCTTGCAGCTTGTGTTATTTGGTCACCGCTGAGTCCAGAAAATAATCTCCAAGTGTATACATCATTGGCTACACTAGCACACACCATTATCAGTAGCAAGGCTACTGTAAATATGCGAAAGAATTTAGATTTGGTTCCATGTATAAATATATTTTCTTCATTGTTTCCAGCGGCGTCGTTTCCCCCAGCAAACTTGTTAAAATATTTGCTCTTTTTCAGCGCAGAACTTATTTTATCCGTTGAAAGAAAGACGCCCACAACAAAAAGTGCCAATATGTTAATGACACGGCAAACGTAGGGAACAGCTCCAATACCATTGGAACCTTGATAACCACAGTCAGTTGTTCTACTCTGACCCATCATGTACATGACAAGAACGCCGACAGTGAATCCTGCTGCAATAAAGTAAAAGATAAGATGATACCAAAAGCCCCAATTGGAAATTATCCAGAAGAGCGGGTACTTTTCAACCTTTGAGCGAGAATCAACAGCTAGTCTTTTAGCCACTTCTTTTAACTCTTGTTCTTCTATGCCAGTGAATTCAGCCATTGTCAAGTAAATGATTATTATAGTGCGAAATTAAAAAAAAGATGGTTGTGAAAAAAAACAACCCATCCACTTTAATTCACGAAATAAACGTTTATAAAATTTTGGGAAATGCTCGTAAACTTCTTTTAATTCTTTTGACAAAAGCGAAGCATGTACAATGGATAATATACATGCAAATGCAAGGCCACATGTTCAGAGCTGACTTTACGTACTATTTCTTTTGCTAATAGAGCCTCTCTTCTTCTTTATAGCCCCTTTTGTGTGGGAGAATAAGCGAAAAAGTGGGTAATAAACATTTTTGCCGTTCGAATAATAGCAGTACAACGCTTGTCGTAGGCCAGGCGTCTTCTTATGTGTCTCTTTTGGCTGTGTAGTGTGTAGCAATTGCTTAACAGCTTCTCTGGTTCAAGTGGATAGGTTTGGCCATGTTTTCAAACTGGATTGATGCTAGACACCAGCATCTTCAAATATATCATCTTCATTGTCGACGACCACCGGGATGTTTTCTCGCTGTTGATTGCTTGTTTCAGTGGGTGCCTTATCTGGAACGGCCATCGTCGGCTTTGCTATTGCTGCAATGACTTTGGACAGCACAAGCCAGTCGCTTTCTGGAATCGTCGTCGACGCTCGAGCTGATGTGATCTCTAAATAATGTGCAATCTCTTCTTGGCTTCGAATGTGGACTGTTATTGCACATGATGCACTCGTGTCGAATTCAAAGTACATCCGGCCCGGTGCAAAGAGATCGTTGGGTTCAACATTGCTATTGTCATGGTCCGACAAAGACTGACGAAAGCGGCATGCTGTCAGCAGCACGCGCTGTCCAAGCTCCGTATTAGCTTTGTTCTCGGGAGCGGTATTCTCTGGCCCGCCTCCAGAGTCATTCTCTTTGGTGCGATTCTTTTCGAGCAGCAGGTAGTCCAACCCTTTGACAAGATGCGTGCGCTCTATATCACCGCCAAGAAACTTACTTTCTTCGTACGTCATGGAGCTTGCTTCGTGTCCATTTTCGTCTATGCCACCCCGACGCTCAGCTGCTCTATCGCGATACCTTTTGCGAGCCGGCTGCATTGGTTGCTTTTCTTTATCCTTTTGCTGGCGAGTCCGTTTTTGCCGTTTCTGTGTGTTTGTAGTCTGAGATAAGAGTTTTCGGAAATCAGACTGCGAAAGCCCGGGCATTTCCATGGCATCGCTGTTGTTGCTGTTGCTATCCGAATCCATTTTCATAAACCCAAAAATATACAAAGGTACACAAATTATAAATGGTTTGATAGTTGAGCTTACCCTTTTGCTTCTTTTTCGCTTACTTTTTCTTGATCATCCAAAGCTATAACAGCCATCAATGGGTTTTTATCACATGGACATGCGTCTTTGTATGCTTTCCAACGCCAGTGGAACAACAAACCCAACAAAACTAGAGAACTGGATGATGCTCGCTGGTTCCCAACAATGCCTAGCAACGTCTAACAATGCAAATGTACCAAAGACAAAATATGATTGGCACGTTTATGCGGGAGATCGCATTGAAACGTTTGATTTACGCAACCCTTTTTTCGATTTTCCATTTGCAAGTGTGATTTTCAACATATCAGATGACACGCGATACATTTGTTACGCATTTTATTTCAACAATTAAGAACGAAAAAAGAAGGAGAGATAAGTAAAAGGATGTCAGCAAGCGTCGCACAAACAGCATATCTCTTCTAATGCGCAACAGGCGAGAAGACCGCAGCAAAAGCCTGCGCCGGCTCCAGCCCCGCCGCCGCTGCCGCCATATGGTCGCTGTTGCTGTTGGTAGCGCGGCTGTGTTTCATACACGACGTACGGTTGCTGCTGAGGTGGTGGAGCTCCTTGCGGCTGACCGTAGTATTGACCGCCATAATAGTTTCCTTGTGGGGGTGGCGGCTGGCTGTATCCATTGCCGTAGTAACCGCTGTTGTTGTTATAGCCCATGCTCGTTTATTTGCAAAGAAAAAGAAAAAAAAAGTGTCTATACAAATAGAGATAAGAAAAGCTGCATTAATAAAGACTAAAAACAAAAGCGAGAAAAAGAAGCGAAGCAAAAAAGATAGGAACGAGAGCTTTATTTCAAAAAAAAAAAAGACTCCACGTATGGTGGGGAGAGGGAGAGTGCAAATGAAAGAGGAGAGCAAAAAAATGAAAAAGTGTGGATGCGCCAAGGCGTGTGAGCCACATGCTTTTAAATTGTTTCAGCACATTGTGTTCCGAACAGCCAATAAAAACGTCTTCCGCAGGTCTCCGGGATTCAGCAACAAACCTCCAGGCAACAGATTGTAGCCAAAAGCCCCACTAGACAGTCGCAGCAACCGCAGGCGCGTCTTACTGGGTGGGGGTGGTGGTGGTGCCTGTGGTAGCGCCTGTGGTAGTGCCTTCTGGCGCCAGGAACGACTGCTCCTCGTCCAAGCATGTTTACTGATTATACAAAACGAAAAGAGTGCAAAAGATAGATCCAACCAAATAGATGGGGTGGTTTATTTTACTTATATTTTTCTACTGAAAGTTAAAGTTGGTATAAAAAGAAAAAAATGGAATGGAACAGAAAAGGAGCCCTTATATATTAGCAGCAGCAGATTTCGCAGGTAAAGAAGGCGCAAATACCCCAGCAAATTCCTTCGCAGCATCCTCCTCCACCCCTTAGTCTCAATGCATCAGGGTCTTGTTCTTGTGCGGTTGCTCCGTCCTTGTTGATGCCTTCTGTGCTGTACGACGCTGTGTAATTAGGTGTCTCCATAGCATATGCCTGTTGTCCTGCAGCCAATTGGGGCTCCTGCGGTGGGCTGATGTTGTTAGTCATGCTTTGAAAAGAGTAGATAATAATGACGATACGATGTAAAAGGTTATATGTACTATTATTGCGAAACAAATAAAAAGTAAGAGAGAAAGAGTAGCATGAATGTCTGGAACGGAGGAAAATGGTCAGCTCTTTTATATGCAAACTTTGCAGTGAATGGAATCGCCAAAGCCGAGCAACAAAAGGTCCCACCACACGCCTTCCTCTTTTGTTCAGTCTTCTATTTTTTGTTTCTACCCCCAACCCCAGTGTGTCGTCACAGTGCGGTCAGTGTGAGATGGCTGCGGGACAGTCAGCCGACCAATTAAAGTCACAGCCCCCATTTGATGAGATGCGGACAACCTATTTTTAGATGCGGAAAACATCTGATTTCTCTGTTGAAAAAGCAGGGGGCATGGAGATGGAAAATATGGTACATCGCTTTCCGCATCTTTTGTCAGAACTTTATGTTCAAAAGAAAGCATGCGGATGGCATAGCTTGTTAGCTCTCAGAACTTCGACAAGCCTTTGGGTTAAGAAAAATGGACAGATGGCCGAGTGGTCTAAGGCGCTGCGTTTAGGCCGCAGTCTTTCGGGGCGTGGGTTCGAATCCCACTCTGTTCAATTTTTTAGTTATTTATTTTTGGAAATGCGAAGCGGAGGAATATATTATTCGTTGATTATATTATCCCGCGTCTTGTCGTGTCTGATTTTTTTAATCAATAGACAGAGAAACATATTACGTCATTTTTATTTGACAAGCAGGCAACGGCGTTCTAGAACGGCACACCTCAAATCAGATGATTTTTTGTCTTAAAGTACATGGCCTCTCAATGGCACTGACAAAATTAGTTTCAATTACGATGCATCAGATACCCCCCACCTTGCTGCTCGTTCTTTTATTTTTAGTGGGTGTGGGGAAACAGCTCAAGCGATAGAGAAAGCGATTTTCAGGACGAAAAAGGAAAGAATTGGACAAACATTTGTGCATGTCATTTTCCGTGATAAACGACTACCTAGTATAGAGACCTCCTCCCCCCAGAATAATGCAAGAGAGGGTGTACAAAATCATTGCACCTTCCGCTTATAGCAGGCTTTAGCCAAGTAAAGGAGATCAATAAAAAGCTCTATAAAATGTGATAGCGACAGTAATAATACAACGGCACGGAAAAGCAACAAAATTTTTTGAGCAAAACGAATCTAATTTCCTTGAGCGTCTTTGATAAGTGACCGTATAGCATCAATGCTTCCCCAGACGCACGCAACGGCGCTGATTGCTAGAACAAAGGCCATCCAGATCTTTTCGTACCATGGAGCCACGCGGTGGCCGTATAGCTTTAGGTAGCAAGTTACAGGGATGATGGCATACATGGTTACGCATGCCAGAGAGCTGATAAGACTCAAGAAGTCCGAAAAGTAAGGGATTGCAAGCGAAATCCCACATACAATGGCAACCACCACGGAGCGGTAAGCCAGCCTGATTATGAACTCGCGCTTTTTCCCAAGGCGCTCTGCAGTGATATTCCACTGCTTCTCGATTTCCAGGTAAAAGCTCAGCAACAAAATGGGAGCAGCAATGATGACATGCAAAGTAATCATGATCTTGGCAACCGTTGCTGGTGCTCCTGTTGGGATCGAATCGAGAACCGGTGAAACCACTTGGTCGCCGTAAGCCCAGTAGCCGGTAATTCCAATGAGGAGGTATGCGGCCGCTGAAAAAACCATCGACGCAAGCACGACCATTGGCCACTGGCGCGGCTTCTTCATCGATGCCTCGACATGCGGGTATACAACATTTCCCGAAAAGCTAAAGACAATGGATGACAGCGCAACAGGGATGCCGATGCCAATGGCGATGCTGTGGTCTGGCGCAGGATCGGCAGGATGCATCTTTGTGTATGGGTCGACCAGCGACATGACGGTGGAGATAACAATGACAACGACAGATGCAAGCAGCCCGAAAATGGCCAGGATCGCAGCCTCGGACATTTCCTTCATAATAGCCACAGGGATCCACATGATGACAGCCACAATGACCATCCACACCTTTTGGCTCAGACCGACACCCAGTGTAATCACTAGCCCGTGAATGAATTGGCCCGCAAGGATAATGTACAGGCACGTGGTTCCCAGCGAATACAAGGAGGCGAAGAACTGGGCAGCGTACTGGCCCCACGGTCCAAACGCAGCACGCCCTATTTGAGGAAACGAATGAAGGCGCATGCCAGGCTGGTAGTACAAGCAGCGGATGGTAAGTGCTCCAGTGTAAGAGCCAATGAGCGCCGACAGAACCACGAAAATGACACCAATCCATCCGGTTTTCGCAAACGCATAGGGAATTTGCAGGCTCCCTGTGCCAATGATGATACACACGATGCTTGAGAATGAGCGCAGAAACCCGGCATTGCGCGGCAACTGTGCCGCTTCTTGTCCGTCGCTTAGTGCTTGGTTCTCAAATTCAGCGATATCTTGGATTGAATCCTTCTCGGGCGTCGCATAGTCCACAGGTATCCCCTTTTCTCTTGATGATGGTGTTTCGACAAAGTCGCTTGAGATGTAGTTATTGGCTTGGACAATCGAGTCAGTGTTTGGGCCGATATTACCGGCATGCGGTTGTGCATCAGTGCTGGATGGCGGCACAGTGGTGGGGCGATTGAGCACCCGATGTATAAAAGCAGTCGCGAAAGTCATCTTGCCCTAAAAAAAAAGTCAATATTTGAAGAGAAAAAAAGAAAACCCTGGAGAATGGATTAATCAGAAAAGCAAAAGAAACGAGGAACTTGCAATCGGCTCGTTTTTATAGGAGCAGCCCAATGGCAACGAAAAGCGTTCCGTTTAGAATATAAGCCAGAGCCAGTCATGGCAATCAAGGGGGTGTGAAGAGAGAGAAAGAGAGAGAGGAGGGGTGGAGGGGTGAAATGTCAATCGTTTAAAAAAAGGGGGGGACCAGTCGAATTTAGCGTCAACAGAGCTGTTTCCATTCAATAGCTGCTGATAGCCAATTATGACTGTGAGAAAAACTTTTCTGCACATATGATATATCTTTCGCAATAATAGATTACCAAATATGGAAACCGCGAATCTGAAAACTAAAACGGATCATTGCCCTAAAAAGGAAAAAGACTAGCATTTAGCTGCGTAATTCCATTTCATATCTCTGGCAGAAAAAGTAACACGTGCTTTTTTTTTAAAAGATAAACGCTTGGCAATATCAAAAAAATTCGAAAGCGATAATAGTACAAAACAGAAAGTAGAGATAGGGGGAGTTGTCTAAACGAAATTATGAATTCAGCCGCTCTTTGTGTCTTTAATCAGCGACTTTATAGCGTCGATGCTTCCCCAGATACATGCAACTGCGCCAATAGCCAAAACAAGCACCATCCAGATCTTTTCGTACCACGGGGCCACGCGGTGGCCATATAGCTTTAGGTAGCAGACAACCGGGATGATAGCAAACATAGTGACGCACGCCAGGGAGCTGATAAGGCTCAGGAAGTCTGAAAAGTAAGGGATTGCAAGCGAGATCCCGCACACGATGGCTACCACCACAGAACGATAGATCAAGCGGATGGTGAATTCGCGCTTCTTGCCCAGGCGCTCCGCAGTGATATCCCACTGCTTCTCGACCTCAAGATAGAAGCTAAGCAGCATGATAGGCGCAGCGATGATGACATGCAAAGTGATCATGATTTTAGCGACCGTTGCAGGTGCGCCGGTTGGGATAGAGTCCAGGACTGGCGAAACCACTTGGTCGCCGTAAGCCCAGTAGCCGGTAATTCCAATAAGAAGGTACGCTGCAGCGCAAAAGGCCATCGATGCAAACACGACGTTTGGCCACTGGCGCGGCTTCTTCATCGATGCCTCGACATGCGGGTATACAACGGACCCGGCAAAACTAAACACAATGGACGACAGTGCGACGGGGATGCCAATGCCTATGGCAATGTCGTGACCCGGCACAGGCTCTGTCGGATGCATCTCTGTGTATGGGTCAATCAATGACATAACGGTGGAGATAATGATCACGACAATAGATGCAATCAGTCCGAAGATGGCCAACACTGCGGCCTCAGACATTTCTTTCAGAATAGCCACAGGGATCCACATGACGATGGCGACAATGATCATCCACACTTTCTGGCTCACGCCAACGCCCAGCGTTACCAGCAGGCTGTGGATGAATTGGCCGGACAGGATGATGTATAGGCATGTGGTGCCCAGAGAATACAGGTAGTTGAAGAACTGGGTGATGTACTGGCCCCATGGGCCAAACGCAGCACGTCCTATTTGAGGGAACGAATGGAGGCGCACACCGGGTTGGTAGTAAAGGCAGCGAATCGTGAGGATGCCCGTGTATGACCCGATAAAGGCCGACAGAACAATGATAACAACGCCAATCCACCCTGTTTTCGCAAACGCGTACGGGATTTGCAGACACCCGGTTCCGATGATGATACATACAACGTTGGAGAACGAGCGCAGAAAGCCGGCATTTCGCGGCAAATGCGCTTCCCCCGCTTGCTGCTGAAGCTGCTGCTCTTCGCTTAGCGCCTGGTTTTCAAGGTCGACAATATCTTGGATAGCGTCCTTTTCAGGAGTTGCTTCTTCCAAGGGCATTCCCTTTTCAATTGACGATGTTTCGACGAAATCGCTTGAAATGTCGTCATTGTTGGCTTGGGCGATCGAGTCGGAGCTTGGGCCGATATTGGCCATATTGTCGTCCACAGCCAGAGGCGGAGTCGGTGTATCCGTGCTGGCTAGCACGGTGGCGGGGCGATTGAGCACCCGACGTATAAAGGTAGGTGCAGGAAACAACATCAGTTTTAAAAAAATATATTTTTTTTGTGTTACAGGGAGAAAGAATATTGTTACAGAAAAGGGAAATCGTGCCCTTTTTTTCTTTTTGAATAAAGAAAAAGGCAGTAATAAAGAAATTTTAATATCCAGGGGGGGGAAGAGGGCCAGACACTCTAGTCTTGAAATATCTCAAAGACGATAATACAGGAATAAATAAAGATGGGATACAGTGGGTGGCAAGAGGAGAAATCTAAAGAGGAACACAAGCGACATTTAAATGGAAAAAAAACTATACATACCCATTATCCATTCAAATGCAAATAATCCAGAGCGAATCGAAAAAATAGAGGTTCTAGACAAACTACGTTTCAACAAGTCATTCCTAGAATAATTAAAGATTGTTCCATAGCTATAGTTCCGGCAATTTTGCTCGCTGTTCCCAATCCTGTGCCTCCCCCCCAATCAGACGAAAAACCCATGAAATGAGGCGTACTTTTTTGTCCGTATGCCAAAAGCGCATAACCATTGTTCACGTGTGAACTGAACTGACCAGCTAAATACAAAAAAAATGCGATAAAGACTCCTTTCCCTCCCTCCGTTTATGGAAGGATTGGAGGCGCTCGGCCACCAACACATGCGAAGATTGCACCCCTATAGCGAGACCCCACCCGACAAGTATATTAACCCCGAGTATCGCGGAAAACGGCGGTCAGTTACACCGTCAATTACATCATGTTTGAGGGACTAACAATTGGTTCCCCCAACGGGCAATAGGAGTTCCGCAGTTGCTCCTTATATTCTCAAAAGTTTAACAATCTTGTGATTTC